AAATAACTGTCTTCATGTAGCCACGGTTACTAGTTTTCTTTAGTGTGTACGAGTACTAAGTCACTTCTATATTTATATGAAAAAGGTTATAAATATCTGTAATCTACTAGATAGATTACAGATAGTGTGTGTGTGTGTGTGTGTGTGTGTGTGAAGTAGCTTTATTTAACGTCCGCTGCCAGATAGTAGAGAGTGATGAAGGGTGGCCCATGCACCTACAGAAATACAGTCAACCGCTGATAGTTCGAGACTACCACTGAAGCGTGCAGATTCGCCGTGTCGAGGCCAACTTTCTGACAGTATGATACTATAAATAGCCATGGCACGTGCAATTCTCTACAAATCTATCAACTATTACAGCCGTAAAAAATTTATTGTTGACGATTTTGAATAGCAGTAAAATTAAGCTTCTTGGTTATTACAGCAGATTTAGAAATTACGTTCGTTTCATTTTTTAAATCGCTTTATCATTAACTGTACCGTTCAGAGCAGCATCTTTTGGTTTAGTACAAATAATATCTCTGAAGCACTCGGGTTAGACAGGAACATGATACTAGCAGTAGTTTCATTTTACTTTTACAAGCTTCTTAAAACAATTGTTGAGCTAGCTAACGTGCTCATTTCTAAATTCAATTTCTTGTTCTAGCTTTCTGTTATGTTTCGTAAAAAAGTAGTCTTGATTATCCCGACCTGTCAATCAGCCCTTGAATGGTCGATAGACTGGTTAAGCGAGACTAATTTCAAAACAAGGGCACGTAACCTATTTTTTACTCAAGAGTGTCTGGATGTTATGGACGACACATGGAACCAGTTTTCAGTCTATTATTTATAGATGATTAATGGTCATAGCTTATTAAGTACAACATGATCGTTTATTTAGTGACTATAATTGTGTGAAACTGATTTGAGGCTTGACATATATATAAATATTGTGGCGAAATTGTCGAGATATATGGAGATATTTCTTTATGGTGGGTCACCCTACAATGATTGGCCTTATATCAGACGATGTTTATGACTGCTGTTAGATACTATTGATCGGTATGGTGTATATAGACGACTATATATATTACATTATATATATATACCTTGTATAATATACCTTGTATACATATGATGATCTGGTAGATGTAATCACACTGTGGTAATATACATATTGATAGAGTATACTGTTTGAAGGGTATATATGGCCGACTATATAGATATAAACAAGTATCTAATTTAACAGTACACTGATTCACGCCAGAAGGCTTCAAGGTTCCCAAGAACCAGAAAAGAGCCTTGTCGATAACTGAGTGAACGAACAATACAAAACATATAAAACACTTGGACAGCGCTTTGTTTCATTCCCGAGAGTATGATCTACGCATTTTCCTTACAAAGGGACCTAACTCCAAATGTTAGCGTTGGTTATCATTGGCATCCTCACTGGTTTTAGATAACCAATATACATTTTAAATACGCGGGATGCTAACTGTGGCGTACAATGTGTTAACAATGCGTTGTTAAAAGAGAAATTAATCCAATATGTAAAGAGAGAGAAAGAATAAGACAGAAAGAGAGAGAGAAAGAGAGAGTGAGGGGGTGGGGGGTAACGTCCATTCGACGGGGGAGGAAACCGGGGAAAACCCATGCAGTTCGACAGGTGACGTAACTCCTTGTCACGTACAGACGTAGGATAGAAACCCCGCCACCTAACTCAATGACTGACCTTATGATCTAACTCGCACGTCTTCGACCACGTGATCGTACAGAACGTATAATAAACAACGTGAAAACAGAAATTTAAAGATGGAGGAAACTGAATTCGAAAGTAAACAATATTTAAAATAAATGGGATTAAAAATTAAAAAGTTTACAATATTTAAAATACATTGGATTCAAATTGAGAAATTACACAGTATTTTAAAAACACGGAATAACAAATTAAAAATTCAAAATAATTTATGAAATGAAATGGGGTTTTACGTCCTACTGTTCTGCTAGAGCCGGGCTAATGAAGACAGGCATACAGTGTGCTATGAGCGGAACGGCTTATTCATATATGGAATTCCAACTGCCAAGGGTTCTTTATGTGAACACCAATGAGTATGGGGGACCCTGAAATTAAAAACTGTACAATACTTAAAATACACGAGGCTAAAAATTCGAAATTACATAATTTTTAAAATCAATGGGATTAATAATTCAAAATTACTTAATATTTAAAATCTATGGGATTAATAATTTAAAATTACTCGATATTTAAAAAAATGGAATAAAAAATTCCGAAATCAAGCAATATTAAAAATACATGGGATTGAAAATTCGAAATTACGCAATATTCAAAATACACAGGATTAAAAATTAGAAAGTAAATGTTATTTAAAATACATGGAATAAAAAACTGTCAATAACACAATATTTAAAATACATGGAATAAACAAATTGCAATTATACAATATTTAAAATATATGGAATAAAAAACTGGCAATTACACAATATTCAAAATACACGGATATATAAAATAAGAAATTACAGGATGGTCATCTTTCAGTAGAGACATGCGAAACTGAAATTAAAATAACCCAAATTGATGTATGGACTGATGCGTTTGTAGGTTTTATATGCTCGTGAACGTGTCTGTCCATGTCCGTCCGTCCACAATTTGCTTGTAGACACTTCAGGTCACAATTTTATCCGATTTTGACGAAACTTGAAATATAGGGTTATCGCACCAAGATCCCATTCCCGTTTGATATTGGCATGTATTGGACAGGAACTCATGGATTTTGGCCCCTGGTTGTACGAAAAATTACATGTGGACACTCTAAAGGTCACAACTTTTATTCAAGTTTGATTAAACTTAAAATATATGTTTTTATCCCACGGATCTTGGTTCCTTTCGATATTTGTGCATACCGGGCGGCAACTTCTTGGATTATTGCCCCTGGCTGTACAAAAAATCGCGTTTTTAGCTTGTGGACTTTCTAGAGATCACATTTTTAAAATCTATTTTTTAACACAGTCCACATAGATTCCCGTTACACCCTAATGAAAATCGGACCGAAACTGCAGAACAAAATGACCGCTACTTGTACGCAAATAGTGTAAAGGTATGTAATACCAAGGTTGTGGAACCGCTTAAGGTCACAATTTTTATCCGATTTTGATGAAACCTAAAATGTGTGTTTATATCCCAGATATCTCGGTTCCTGTTGATATTGACGCATGTCGGACTGTAACGTCCAGGATTATGTCCCCTTATCGTATGGAAATCGCCTTTGTCTGTCCATCCCTTGTAATATACTGTTCTCACCACGCACATAGATTTATACAATTGTTGAAATATTTACAAACTATTCGTCTAACCTCGAAATGTTCGTCAGGTCAGGGATGGAAAATCTAAGATGACCGATATAGTTTACGCAAGGCGAAGACCCGGCTACCATGATCTATGATAGACACCAAATTATGGCTCCAGATCATAAATGATCACAGTCCTCTCTCAGGTGAAATTATGACTCAATCTAAATACTACAACCATAAATCCAATTTATGCTACTCTTGTACTTATTAGGGTCCGTAGGGTTTATTGTAGGGACCATCCATCTATACACTGCCCCAAGCACCACACCTACTCAAAAGGTGTTTAAATTTACAAGTCGTTTTGAGCCTGGCGTGCAGCGCCATCCCACAATTTTCTGTCGGCACCCCAATCAACAGCTTTCGCTCTCTGTTTTCCAATACCCCTACCCCCATACAAAGTGTTAATTAGAAAGAACATAACAAAATTACTTTGCTGTCATAGGACTAATTCGTACCTGCTTACCGCCCTTCATATAAGGAACGAATTGTCTTTTCGGTATTATTCTACTCTTCAAATACTTCTATCTAACGACGTTCCACAAACTCCGCCCTTGTCAGTGATGCAGGACGGGGGGCCTGACAAGGACAGTTGTCTAGTCCTTCGGATGAGACGAAAAACCGAGGTCCCGTGTATATATCAGTTGGAATTCGATATAAGAGTAGGCGATAGTGCCGAGGCCCGGGCAAAATTTCCCTCATAGCACACTGTATGGCGTATGCCCGTCTTCATTAGCCCAGCATAGGAGCAGAACAGTAGGACGTTAAACCCCATTTCATTTCATTTCATTTCCACAAACTCCGGGCACAATAATAAAAAACTGACAATTTTAGGGTGTTTCCTCTTAATGCTCGTAGGAACAAAATCGATGGAATATACGAAACAGCCAATCAAATTCATATAGTTTGCTTTTCAGAGACACACTTGAACGGGACGACGATCCGTAGCTTGGACATTTACCTCGTATTTTATTAAACTGAATTATAAGCGAATAGCTGATACTTAGTATCTACGAAATTATGTTGAGGTTCATTGAAACCGAGGGGTATCACGGTGGCTAAGTGGGTAAGACGCTAGCTCGCTAGCCTGGAGGTCGGGTGTTTGATCCCTGCTTTGGTCGAGAAAGTTCATCCAGATTTTCCGGCGTGGTTCCCCCTTGTCAGTGATGCAGGACGGAGGGCCTGACAAGGACAGCTGTGTAGTCATTCGGATGAGACGAAAAACCGCAGTCCCGTGTATACATTGGCGTGCACGTAAAAGATCCCTTGACAGTTGGAATTCGATATAAGAGTAGGCCGTAGTGCCGCTGTCCGGGCAAAATTTCCCTCATAGCACACTGTATGGCGTATGCCCGTCTTCATTAGCCCAGTTCGGAGCAAAACAGTAGGACGTTAAACCCCATTTCACTTCATTTAATTCCATAGAAACCGATGAATTCGTTTTGTCTCTTTCCATTATAAATTATTTCCTTTCTCTTAATCTGAAGGAAATGTAGCTCCGTTGTTGCCAAGCCTCTGGTTGTTAATATTATAATCATTGTTAATACAGTTGTATTTGATGGATAATGGCCGAAGACTGTCCATTATGTGAATAGAAAGAACAACTGAGGGGCGTTGGGACTCGCTTGGTCGGAAATCATAGTAACATCAAAGCATTATATACATTTTTAAAAAGTGTTTATTAAAATTGTGAAAGAAGATAATTTTCTGTTTTACTCCTTGTATAGAAGTCTATAACACGATACTCTTAAGATTCTTCTTGTTCTTCTTCTTCTTCTTCTTCTTCAACGCCTCCCATTTTCTTTGCCCTCTGACGAGTCCTGTTACAAAACGAAATTTAAAGAAGACTTGATTTCTGAATAACATGTATGGGGTAAGACCCATTAAAGGAGCCAAGTCTCTAACTCGGAATCGTCCACAGTCTTCGATATTGCAAACACGACTTACTGGTCAATTTAAATCAATATTGATGTTGTGATCTTACCGGGAAAAGATGGGCTTGTGATATCCTACGTTTAAGACAAAATGAAAATTTAAAAATTGGCACACGAATCGTGTTTCAGAAGGCTTTCGAGCGCCATTGATATGAAACGACTCCATGGAAGAGGCTAAACATATTCCATGTAGGGGAATACTACCAGTGAAGACTGGAATAACCACACGCCAGAGACAGCCATTCAATTCGGAACTTTCGCGTATTTCGCAGAACATAACTGATTAGAAATGAAAATTAAATGAAATGGGATTTAACGCCCTACTGTTCTGCTCTGACTGAGCTATTGAAGACAGGCATACGTCATGCAGTGTACTATGGGGGAAATTCTCTTATATCGAATTCAAACTGCCAAGAGATCTTTTACCTGCACGTCATCCGAACGACTAGGTGGCTCTCCTTGTCAGGCTCCCCGTTCGGCCTCACTGACAAGGGGGAACCACTCCGGAAACTCTGGATGAACTTTCTCGGCCAAAGCAGGGATCAAACACCCGACCTCCTGCCCCCCCCCCCCCTTAGTTACGAGCCTGGCTGTCTTGGATTATCGCCCTTTTTATTGTCATAACATTTTATTTGTTATTTCGCAAAGTACCACGTTTTACGTACAGTCGTTAAGCAGATGACCACCGACAAGGCTAGTCACACATTTTCCGACTGCTTCCTTGTATTCAGTGTTGTTTTTTTTACTGTTGTATAGAAATAAGGATTTATGCCCTAACTTAGTAATTAATACACTTTAATTATTATCACAAAGGGGCGTGGGGGGGTATAGTAATATATATTCTTAGATAGTTAAAAATAGATATTTTGTTAGTAATATTAATTGCTACAGTTATATATACTCACTTCTGTATCCGCCACGTTAAAATTAGCTTGAACAACTCTGCCGTTTAATGGCTGAACGGGTCGGAAGTTATTCTGGAGATTTACGCCTTCAGAAGACATTAATTTACGGAATTCGTCAAGCTGAAATAAATCATACTGTTTTGACAATCAAATTAAGATGTTTACATCCATTTCATGTTTATTATTATTATTGGTTCGTGTGATAAAATGATAAAAAAAACCCTACGTATTCTTCATTTCAACTGCTGGGTGTATTCACTCTAACTATGGCTTCGTTTTAACCCTTGGGTATACAAACAAGGGACTTTTGACAAGCTCGAGACAACAGTCAGGCGACAGGCTATCAAACGTGTCTTATACACTTATAAAACGATATGTTTTCACAAACTTTTATTTTTCACATGTTTAAAGTAAGATTAGGCCTCACCTAGCACACTGACCAAGTTCCTATAGAACCAACAGCTGATGTGAAGTGGTTTAGTGTAGCTCTCGCATAGGTCATACTTTTTAAAGTCATATTTCCATCTTAAAGTGAGAGCCTCAACCAGAATGTCAACACTGTCATTTTTCTTTGACGGTTAAACACATTTTAATCAAGTGTATTAGATCGAAATATTACCGCGGCCAGTCACTCAGTCAGTTGTTTGCCCAACCCTGTATATATAGTAAAGCGCTAGACTTTTTTAAAGAGACAAATTTTTATGGAAAATTTTATTTGTGTGTATTTATTTCTTTAAGTCATATTTTAAATATATATACATAATTATATAGTTTGTGATATTTATTTTTATTGACTGTGATATTTTTTTTTATTGATTGTGATATTTATTTTTATTTATTATTTATTTATTTTTATTTGATATTTATTTAGTTTTATTTGATATTTATTTAGTTTTGATATTTATTTAGTTTTGATATTTATTTATATTTATGTTTTAATTATTTATTTTTATTTGATATTTACTGTGACATTTGTTTTTTCATTTGTCTTGAGTAACATCACAATATGTTTGATGCAATATAACCCTGCTGGAGCTGACGTGCCATAAAACAATATTTCATTCATTCATTTGAAGTAAGAAGAAGTTTAAAGTGACTGGAATATCATGCTGATCAATAATATATTTCTTTGGCCTAATATCAATTAATTGTCTGCACAATAATTGTCTACAAATCCCAGAAAATAAAACTATAATTCATAAGATTGTTAAAGTCGATTTTTTTAAAATTTGTGTTTTAAAACTTCTAATATTTTTGGTAAAACTATTTAATTATAGGCCTGCAGTCTTAAGTTCTGCTACAAGGTCCTCCCTGCTGAACAAACTTTACATATTTTGGAAACTTATAACACCAGGAACACAAATCCCGAGAGTGCCAAGCAAAATGCTTGCACAAACTGGAAAATCGTCATAACTGTGAAGTAAATGCTATAATTATACTAACATTGTGAAGTTGATATCAAATTAAATATTGGCGAAAACACCCGATGCCTTCATCCTCGACGAAAAATATGATATTAATTAAATTTTGATTAAAACCAAAATCCAGAAACGTAATGTACAAGGGAACATACAGAAATTTGAAAATCCATTTACGATACAAACTCCAAGTAATAACCCCCCTTTATGGAAAATATCAATAATTATTGATAACAATATTTAGTTTAAACAATTTATTCCATAAACTGAATAGGATTTAACAACAGACAATGGCTCATGTAAGTTCTCCCAAAACATTATACCTACTATAATATCTGTAAACCTTTTTTTCAGATAGGATTTGAGGCTATAATTCTATAGATTAAGTTTTCTCACTAAATTAGATATTGCCAAAACTAAATAATACTGTACTGGGAATGACAATATTGTAATGAAGAGAAAAAACATCGGAGTTTGATCCTGGTTCGGTGTGGTTTCCCCATGGTCATTGGTGCAGGACAGAGCTCAGCGAGTAAGGCGCGGGATCACTAATCAGGAGGTTCGGGGTTTGATCCCCATGTTGGGCTAGAAAGATCCCCCGAATTTTCCAGGGCTGTTTCCAATCGTCAGTGTGTGTATACATTAGTATTTACTTGACAATTATGACGGGGGGGGGGTGGATGGCTGAATGGTTAGCACGCACGCGCTGTATCATACGATCTGTCATTGAGTCAACTGGCGGGGTTTCTATTCCCCGGTTGTACGTGACAAAGAGTAGGGTGGCCAGTCCAACCTCGTGGATTTTCTCCGGGTCCTCCGGTTTCCTCCCACTGCTAAAGACCACTACGCACAAGCGAATTATTGAAATAAAATTAAACCATATGCTAGTCCCGAAATGACCTAGTTTGTGTCGAGTGGACGTTAAACCACATTTCTCTCTCTCTCTCTCTCTTGACAATTATGACGATTTTCATCAGGCCTTAAATCGAGTTTGTGCAAACATTTTGCTTGGAATCCTCGGGATTTGTGTTCCTAAAATGTATAGTTTGTTTAGCAGGGAGGACCTTGTAGCTAGAAATTTTGGCTGCAGGCTTATTATATAAGTATATAATACATTTATATTTCTGTAAATAATTTGTGACAGGAGATGTATTTATATAAGTTCCAGCTTGTGTTCTGGTCCAATAATTACATATTGTACCTTAATAATATAATATGTTTTTATTAATAGAATAAATACTGTTACAAAACAAAAAATCAAAAACGCAATTTGTGATCGTACCTGGCGTTTTGAGATTTTGATCTTTTCCTTGAAGACTGACCAAACAACGATCTCGTCACAGCTTGGGGTTGTCAAACTTCCAAGGTACCGGTAAAAATGACATGGATTGTTAGGAAGCAAGTCCCCGACAGCAAATTCCGCCAATTGTACGCTAAATATATCTGAAATTTACCACACAAAATGAATTAATTACATTTTAACAAAATTAAGTGTCGCGAAATGGCTCCAGAATAGGATATCATAAAGCAGCAAAGCGACAACGCGACGTTTTAGATGTCACCAGTGGATTTTATATGAATTGCGAATTGCATCTTTATTATGAAAGAACAGTTACAGGGTACTCGCGCGGATTCTCTATGGCATAAATAGTATAACTTGTCTAAGATAAATAGTATAACTTGTCTAAGATAAATAGTATAACTTGTCTAAGATAAATAGTATAACTTGTCTAAGATAAATAGTATAACTTGTCTAAGATAAATAGTATAATAGTATAACTTGTCTAAGATAAAAAAAAAATACATCAGCTGAGGATCCACAGATATCGATCGAAGAAAATACTTACCACGGTCACTATATTCAGTTATCTGTGATAGTGCAGAGATTATATTAGTATACTCTTTATTATCGTCTTTAGAAATCTACAAATACAAAATAATACAAATGGCTAATATAAACTCAGATATTCCAGGCTTTTCTATACAAACTTCGCTTTAGAGTTTATATTATTATGAATTTAGACTGTATAGTTCTTCCATTATCGAGGAGATCTTCCGCTGTGTTACTGACACTCATACATGGTCTTATGACAAAATAGCGTCCATATAAAAGTATTAAACTTACCTCAAACATAAATCCAATAACAGCCAAACCTTTAGGTAGGGTTAACGCCTCCCCTACACCCGCCGCAGAAGTTAAATAATGGACCAAATGAAGCTGGAAAAAAAACAACATTGAGTTGTGATGGGTAAAAATCGGATAAACACTATCGCGGCAATTTTGAAATGGATAATGCCGCCTAGTCGAACGTTACTGGAAAGGTTTTCGCTAGAGGAGATTCGATGACCGTCTGATCTAGATTCGATGAACGTCTGATCTATCGCATGCGTAGAAATCATAGATCTGAGAAATGTGAAGCCACCGCAAGTACTTACTCCGCTCCCAAAACATTGGTTGGTATCGTTAACGTAGTTGTATTTATCTTAAGATAAACATCAATGAATTAATGCGGCTATAAATTTTTAAAAAATCATAACAATTTATGAGAATGAAATGAGAATCGCCGTTTACGTGGGCTTACCATAGTCTTTGTTTCCATTCATAATAACGTCACATGATAAATAAACGTAGACCAGGTATATTATATAGGCCTACTATAACTATGCTTACTACAACAGGCATACCGGTATTTATATAGTTCTTCGATCAAGTTTTATTTTCTTTTTTTTTTCCTTTTTGTTATATATATTTCTTCCTTTTTATTTCTTCCTTTTCTGTTGTCTTTGTTTTAAATATTTATGCCTATCTGTTAATAGCCTTTTTTTAAAAAAAAAATAAAGACTGCACACTGTGGAGAACACATGGCCAAAGAAAAAACTAATTGTGCGATACATCTTGGAAGTTTTTCCTCTAGTATTAGCTGTGAAATTATAGAATAGTAAAGAAGAACATGGGACAAGGCCTAGCATATAATGGTCAGGCGACAGTATTCCTTGTCACATACAAGGTTCAGATCGAAACTCAATCAATAGCAGGCCTTATGATCTAAAAATGCACGCTTTAGACTTCTCGATTACTCGACCACCACAACCTACCCCTTCATTATAAGCCGTGCATGCACGTTGCAATTCGGTGAAATCTTGACTGAAACTCGATGACCGGGACAAATTCTCATCATAACATATCTCTCTGCCTTCATTAGTCCGGTTGGTACAGACATATAGGACGTTAACCACCATTTCATCCCCGTACAAGTCATGTCAGTCTTTATAAAGTTTTCTTTTTACGCAGGTTTACTCAATTAGATATTACCACACATCCCGTACATTGAAGTAGTAGTAGTAGCGAGAGAGAGCGAGAGAGAGAGAGAGCTTAACGTAAACTCGACACAAACTAGGTAATTTCAGGACTAACAAATGGTTTAATTTTATTTAAATAAGTCGCTTGCGCGTAGGGGTCTTTAGCAGTGGGAGGAAACTGGAGGACCCGGAGAAAACCCACGAGGTTGGGCAGGCGACGCTAATCCTTGTCACGCACAACCAGGGAATCGAAACCACGCCAGTTGACTCAATGATACAGCGCGCACACGCTAAACATTCAGCCCTCCACCCCCCCACCCCTGAAAGTAGTAGATATATTTGTCTTTATGTGTGAATGATCGAAGTGTTGCGCCTTGCAGTAAAATTGTGCCTGCATGATTTTGACTATCGAGATACTTGTACCCAGTTTGGCATGAAAATCCACTGCCTTCTATTTGAAATTATTCCGTTTAACCATACGAATCTATACATTTATATGGGGTTGCTGTGTATTACATTTTTATTATTTTGGTTCTTTTATGGCTTTAAGCATTTTGGTTTTTTTTTTCAAATTCAACTTACTTCCATAGGAAACTGTTCTCCATTAATTGTGTGTTCCGAACCTTTACCATTATCAGAACCCCAATGAAAGTGTAACTGTAGCAGTTTATATTTTCCAGGAAGTCCGCCATTCTTAATAAATACATCACCACTTGTTATATCTACCTGGGCTGAAATAATAACCCCTTTCCTATTATGATAATATATTTTTCCTAGACTTGGATATCCAGTCCAAGATTATCTCCGAAATGGAAATGAAATGAAATGAAATGGGGTTTAACATCCTACTGTTCTGCTCCTAACCCGGGATAATGAAGACGGCATACGCCATACAGTGTGCTATGAGGGAAATTTTGCCCGGGCAGCGGCGCTACGGCCTACTCTTATATCGAATTCCAACTGCCAAGGGATCTTTACGTGCACGCCAATGTGTACACGGGACCTCGGTTTTTGTCCCATCCGAAAGACTAGACATCACTCCAACCTACATCACTGACACGGGGAAACCACGCCGGAAAATCTGAATGAACTCTCCGAAATGGAATGGGCTTGTACTAAGAATATCGGTTTATTGATCGTGACAAGAAGCTGATTTAGAAGGACGTGCGTCAATTTGAACGCGTTCCAGTCGTTATCTGGGGGATTATTGTGATGGCAGCCATCTCTAATAAGAATGTTAATCCAAAAATGGTCCAGTGCCGTTCATTATGTATAAAGATATAGTGACCTGAAAAATGGTCAACACCATTATATTTGAATCGCCTTTTGATGGGCCTCTTTTGACCCAGTTTGATCAAATAAAGAGATTATCTGCCCTTGGTATATGTTTTTTGATTTCTTAATCAACTTGAGTAGCCGTGACAAACTATATGTTTCCTAAAAATGAAAATGACGATTAGGGACTACAAATAAAATTGTGTATGCTTTTTAATTTACATATACACATTACACAATTACAAATCCTAAAATTATTGTTTTATGCTTGAATTATTAAAGCAATCACAAATTTCATAGAACACCATTTGTTAGCAATGGGTTGTTGTATGCAAATTTAAAGTTTGTTTGACATGAGATTAAACCAAGACAGGATTTGACAAAATTATATCTTACCAGTGTGGCCATTATTTCTTATCTTCGTTGTGATTGGTTTATCGTATCCAATCATTGTGATGTTTCCTAGCCTTGATCGTACTTTGGCTTTTGAATTGACGATATTAATGGGTGATTGACGTATTTTACCACATAATGGAAATATCTTTGACCATCTAGACGGCCCTGCAATACATTTGTAATAAGTTAATAAAGGCTAGAATAAAATATAAATACAGATTTTAAGACTATACACAATATAAATTAATCCAATGTTAAAACAGTATTCAAATTAATCAATATTAATTGAAATATTATTATGAAGAAATTATGAATTCAGCAATCAATAATATTGGCAGTTTCCTGAATATGCCGGTTTCCACAAACAATGAGGCGAAAACCGAAGGGACCCTGCATATATGTGATTTCTTAGCGCTAGCTTTTGATTTGTAAGTGATGGTACTTTCTGTGACCATTAATCTACACTCAACATTTGTATACTGTTTGTGGCTAAAGTAGGTGGAAGTCTACGTCTTCAGCGCACATACCAATATGATTTCTCACCTCACCTTGGCTTTTCTTATCCTTCATGTTCATATCAGCGCTGTATTGTATGTTTAAATAAAAATATATATTTATGACTCTGTTTATTACCCCTGCTTTATATCAGGTGATTGTTTAGTTGTTAACAAATACAAACTTAACACAGAAAAAAGGAATCCAATATTTGAGAACGTAGATGGTCGAAGGTACATTGTGTGACATGGAAGTATCTTCAAAAATACATCAGAGTAACTTACCATCATTCTCATATCCCCAATCTGAAATAATATAAACATCACATATTATATAAAATATAAATAAACTATAAACATACTTATGGAAAACAGCTACTGATTTATTTAGGCGACGTTTCAAAGAGTATTCTCTCAACGTTTTCAATTAACTTGAAAACGTTGAGAGAATACTCTTTGAAACGTCGCCTAAATAAATCAGTAGCTGTGTTCCATAAGTATGTTTATAGTTTATTTATCTGCTTAGTTACTAAATGCCACTTAAAGAATATATAAAATATAGTAACCAAATCTACATGCTTACTAGACAGGTGAAGGTAAACGTATGTAAAATCATTAAACACAGAAATCTTTTGAAATAGTCCAGTCTATTTATGATTTTACGGCCAAAAATTTGCAAGAAAAAGTTTTAATGCATTTTTGCGGCGTTTATTTAGATGTGCTTTATAAAATTATCAAAGTTTACCAAATTTTGCGCACTGGAAATCGGTAAAATCCAAGAGAGACGACATTTGCCTAATCAATGTACAAGGAAACATTAATTTAATATAATATAATGTAATTTATCAATGTATAAAATTAATGTTCTGTCAACTCTCCCAAAACAGGCGGAATCAACATGCAAACCTCGAGATTCTGTCCCATTTCTTATCCTCTCGTTCACAAGAATTTGCTCCCAGCAATGATCTTAAAAGCCAGGATATTGACTCAAATTGTCCAAATTATCTCTTCGTCAGCCACTGTCCGTAAGGTTCACAAAAAATTGATAACAAAATCAATAACAATGATAATAATGAAGTGAACTTCCGGCAAATTCAAAATTATTTTTTGGGTTGTCAAATTAGCAGAGTCTGGTGTTTTGTAGACATGATGTAGCCATAATTCTCAAACTACAAAATGTCTAGCCATATAGAGGTAGCTTACTTGGACTTACAATTATTTGTACAAGGGACACCCATCATTGAACCCGGGCTCCAAAAATCTGACACAACAGTTTCTGTAGCGGGTGTAGCAATATCATTCAAAAACATACTAAAATGTGCAGAGGCGTAGCCGTGAAATATATATTGGGGGGGGGGGCGCAACCCTAACCCTAACCCTAACCCATTTTTTAAAACCTCTAAAAGATATAAACAAACACCATGTGGCCATGCTGTCTACCAAGACACCGCGTGCAAAAGCATTATGGCTACCTCTCTCTTAGAAATGAAAATAAAATATTACTTTAAATAAAAATAACCCATCCATTTCTCGATCGTCAATAAACAAACAAAAACAAGTATAATTTTTTATCTATTTAGTCCTTGATAAAAGAAAAAAAAGAAATTTTACAGTGGAAAAATAAAATAAAAAATATATTGTAAAGAATACTTTTTAATTTGGGTAAATTGATTTTTACTTACGCACACTTGCTATTGTATTTACTTGTATCAATACAAGTAAAATAAGGGCCGCACACTTATGGAGCTGAATTTCCCTCATCATTTTAACTCCTAATCTAGTAATGCGTATACTATTATGCTTACTTCCATATATGTAATGTCTTATTTGGCTATTTACACATGTAAAAATGCTAATTGATATGGTATTTCTTAATTATTGCAGTTTTAATTTGTAATTTGATCTAATTACATTATTACTTTTAATTTATTGTAGTTTTAGTTTAGTTTCGTCAACATTTTGACATTTCACAAATGTTACGCGATAAAGGCGTCATAATTCTCACGCTCATTTTTGGTAATGGTAATAGATAATGCTGTTTACAATTAAATGGCTGCCGATTGAGGGCACGTAAAATCTTGCCTTTTTCATAACCCAATAGAAATGACATTTTCCTGTCAAAAATAGTAAAATGTTTTACTTACAAAAGCAACTTATATTAGATATTCTTAAAATAAATTGCCCTAAATAGGCTTCTCTCATTCCTTTTTCTTAATACAATGTACTGCCATATCGATTGAATTGGCCTATTTTATTTTCTAAAAGAATATTAAAAAATATAGTAAGAACTCATTACGTCATGCATGAAGGTGAATAAATAAATATAAATAGGTAATGATTAGTTTAGCGTATCTTTTCCCCTCAAAATTATGAAATATTTTTCGCACAAAAGTAAAGTATTTTTGATATTATTTTAGTTTTCTATCGGGTCAAGCTTCCAAATCATAGGGAAACGCAGATTGACTGTCGACTAAATATGGCGTGGATTAAATGCCAAAAATCACTACTTGTGATAACAAAATCAAGATTTCGAAACAATATAGACATATTAATACAGTAAATTGGCGCGATCTATCTATTTTTAGCGTTTTTAAAACAAGAGCGAATCACCTTTTTGGGCGCCTAATTGCAAAGCCGCTATAGGTGTTCACCAAGTTAAATGTTAATAGATATATATAAGATTTCAGCGAAAGATGGTATGTAGCGATCGATATACTCTGTGTATTGTCTGCAATGGATGCTGAATTCGGACAAATTCTAAATTCATCATAAATGAACAGTAATCAACCATTTATTGTTAAACTGATAGTCCTTAGAGATAAAACTTAAAAATATTATTATAATTTGCAATGAATTTAAAATACCTCAAATGATGACAAGAGCTTATCATTTAGACAGTTCACATGTTTGTAATGATACTGGGGGTTGGATGGCCGAATGGTTAGCACGTGCGCGCTGTATCATACGGTCTGTCATTGAGTCAACTAGCGGAGTTTCAATTCCCCGGTTGTACGTGGCAAGGAGAAGGGTCGCCTGTCCAACCTCGTGGGCTTTCTCCAGGTCCTCCGGTTTCCTCCCACTGCTAAAGACCCCTACGCGCAAGTGAATTATTGAAATAAAATTGAACCATGTGTTAGTCCCGAAATGACCTAGTTTGTGTCGAGTGGACGTTAAACCCCATCTCTCTCTCTCCCTCTCTCTCTCTCTCTCTCTCTCTCTGTCTCTCTCTTGTAATGATACCTGTAAATTATCCAATTTTCAAGTTTCCTATATTATCGAAGACTATATATAAGTGTTTGATCAAAAAATATATGAAAGTGACCTGTAGCTCAGTAAAAACATCTCAGATCTAAACTACAGGTAAGCTCTACTACCTGATATACTGTATAAATTGCTTAAAATGGATGAAATTGAAGTGGATAGCCTTTCGTCTGGTGCAGTTGAAAACCTTTTTTTTTGATGTTGAATCCCTTAATGAACTTGTAAACAACGCAGTTAAACTAGTCGTAAATGAATTAGCAAACGGACTTAAAAAACTAATAAATGACAGATTGAATCCATAGAAGACAGGCTCACGGAAGTTGAACTTACTCAATTCAGTATTGGGAGTGATGTGGACAGCTTCGATGAACGATTTTCTAAACTAGAATTTAGTATAAACAGTAAAAATAGTGAGATCATGTCTTTAAGAAATAAACTAAATAACCTGGAACAATATACACGTAAATCACACATTCGAATTTTCGGATTTCCAAGAACAATCCGATGAAAATTGTATAAATATTGCCCAACACATCTTAAAAAAAAATTAAAAATAAATCAAGATGTAACAATCAATGCAGCCCACCGGGTGGGCCCAGAGCACAGAGAAGATAAAACTGAAATAGCTACAAACGAAGGGACTACCAGATCTAAGAAAGATCCCCGGGGGATTATAGTGAGATTTGTTAGGAGAGATGAGCGCCAAGTAATACTCACGAATAGACGGAGACGAGCAAAATCAGGTATTTCAATATCAGAAGACATGACTTATGAGAACGTAAAATTATTGGAAAAAATCCAAAAATACCCACAAGTAAAATCAGCTTGGTTTTCGAATGGCAAACTTCGCGCCGAGGGACATAACGGAACGAAATGTCGTGTGGAACTGTGGCCGAGTATTGAAGATCAATTGTGTCAACTTAATACAGCATAAGGAATTGCTAAACTTAAACTGATAATCGACAAAGAAAGATAATGCCTCTCTAAAAATAACCTTCAATATATTGTATTCTTTTGATGATCCCTTGAAGATTTTCCATAAAATATAGTTCCGAATATAGTATATTTATCTATATATCATAAGTGAATTTTGTCAAACATCTAAACGTATGTATAATAATGTATTCTATCAACACCAAAACATGAACTCCGTCTATTTTCTTGTAAGGTAGTACTTGTATGTTTAACAACAGGTAATACTCTCTTAAAGTGCTATCAAGAGTTTCGTTTATTTCGGCCATAGATTACAGCTCGAAAATACATCTATTTAAAATCAAAACTATAAACAAAGGCAACGGCACCCGATAGAACTTTCATACAAGAGATAAATTACCATATTCAAACATCAGATCTAATTATAGGAGTATAGAATATGTAATACCCTATATTATATTCATTTATCCAAACTTATAATTATAGGAGTATAAAATATGTAAACCAGGAATGTTTTAGAATAATAACACACAGCAACAATATAAAATCAACTTATAAAATATTCATATCAGCATGTTGCGTGATCGCTCGCTTACCTGGAGGTCCCGTGTTCGGACCGGTGTTTTAAATATATATATATATATTTTTTTTTAAAAGCAATTGTGGTCTCACTTCTTTTAAAAAGGTTTTTGAAATGCGATGGGGATTGGGGCGGTAACTTTGGAACTGCAGATTACGGAACACTGAAAATCGATAGGGTTCATCCGCTTATGATCCAAATGGTTTTAAAAAAAAAAAAAAAAAATATGTTAAAAACATACTTAATCCCCCATCGTATATGAAAAATATGGTAGAGACCTATACTACCAGTAGAAATTTATACTCTAAAAAAAAACATCTTGTAATATCTCCAACTATTTTGGAGAGAGGGAGAGGGCGAGTAAGAAATGGGGTTTACGTCCACTCGATACGAATATGATTTAAATATTATTTCAATAATTCGCTTGCGCGTACGTTGTTTATCTTTGGGAGGACACCAGAGGACCTGACTAAGAGCCACAAGGCCAGACAGTAAGTAAGTAGACACTGGTGTTATGTTACATGATGAATCACTTAAACATAGAAAATTAGCTATACATTTATATTTTATAAAAACAATTGGAAGACGATAGATGTATCGAATTGCTTGATGTTTCATTTTACGTTTTAGTCTATAAATCTTGAATATCAAATATATCCAGGTTTGTTTTCTCGTGTTTCAATTATTCATATTCAAAAACTTCTATTGATGCATCATTGATGATGGTGTAACGGTTATCTTGTGTTTTTGATATATTATATAACATTGTGATTAATCAGGGAAAATTAATTGGTATAACTTTATATTCACGTATCATAAAATATTGATAAATTTCGCTACCTACAACATGATTTAATGTTAGCTATAAAAGATTAATGTACATGGATGATAAGGGGGTGGGCGGGTCGCAGCTGCCCCTCTAACTTTTGGGCAGTGTGACATTTCGAGCACACGGGTAAAGTGAAAACAAAAAGTATTATTTCATCTAGTTGGGAAAATAAAGTGCCCGAAATCTAATAAAACACTAACTTTACATTTCTTTTAATTGATAATCACTAATTTGTACTGAATTGACTATGGATTCGCGACGATTGATTGGTTGTTTGGGATTCATGTAAGTTACCAAAGGTAGGCTATATTGGGATTCAGATAAGTCACCTAAGGTGGGCTATATTGGACCACATTGAAGTTGCTGGACCATGGGCTGGAATAGCAGGAAAACGCTTTTGCGCCGGTAAAATTTTCTCCCAACTGTTCTATCTACTTTAAATGATATATTGGTTGATTTTGGAATTCGAACTAGCCACCTAAATTAGCCTACGTTAGACATTTAGACCACTTTGAAGTTCAAGTGCTGGAATATCAGGAAAAAGCGTTTGCGACCGTCAAATTTTCCAAATGGACGTGTGTGTGTGTGGGGGGGGGGGCGCTACGCGGTGAGCTCCGCTCCTTCGCTTTGCGCAGACGACCGGTAACCCGAAGTCTTTTCGGGCATTTCAGTTTCTGCCCCCTTAACATTCATCGAGCCTGTACGCCTAAGGATAGTTTGTCAGCCATTTCCATTCAACGCCATGATATATATTTACACGTACCATTTCAAGTGGTCTAGTCGCACAAATGAATAATTTATATATTTTTTTTTGAAAGCAAGGTACCTTTACAGGTTCAAAGGAAAATGTGTTCGTTTTAGTTAAATGTAAGATGATATGACATACTTATGGTGGTTGTTAATGGTCATTCTATAGTCTCGACTTATCGGGTTGTGAAGGCAACAAATCGGCAAGTCGAAAAAATCAACCCAACAATCATTGCCTATATTTTGTCGACTCATCGGGTAAATACTGTCGACTTACGACTTGTCGCCTTCGACTTATTCACAACCCGGCAAGTCAACAAATCGACAAATTATAATCTTGAATTGTCTTGTCTCGGGGTCAATCAGTGCGCATGAGCAAGCATTCTTCTCTGAAGAATGGAAGCCTTATTGCGACCACTTCGTAATCCCGACGAGACGTCAAGGCGAGAACGCGAGGGAA